CCTCCCCCTCAGCCTCTCCTCATGGCACTTGTGCTCCAGTCCCTTCACCAGCCTCGTTGCTCTTCTCTGCACCTGCTCCAGCACCTCAACATCCTTCCTGAACTGAGGGGCTCATTTATATTATCTAAGTAGGCCAAGTATATTTTTAATCTACAAAATACAATATATATGTATATATTATATACATAAAATATATATAACACAGATAATAAAGATATATACTATATCACATATATATTTTACATATGTACATGTAATCTTATAAGACTATAAAAGTATATATTTGTCTACTTATATTCTACTTCTGCCAATATTTTCCTACCTGATTTCACTCTGATTTGAAGACAACAAGCTGCCACACTATGTAAAACCTGTGTTTCACTGACATGGGAATGTATGGTAGGTTTCAAAAATATCTGAAAGAGGAATTCTCTTCTTCAGTGATTATAGACCAACCAGACAAAACAGTTATGAAAATCTCCAAATTCCTGTCAGGGGATTTTTGTCATGCAGCAAAAGGAAGATGCTAGCAATGTTTTGTTACACCTACTGTATGTGAAATAAAGTAAACCCAGAAATGTCAGCACATGGAGAGCAAAAAGAAGCCATTAAAGCCATACCCAGGTGGAAGAGGACCTTGGCTCACTGTGGTAGGTGTCTGAGGTGAAGGATTTACTGGCTGGACTTGTCTGGACACTGGAGGAGTGGTGAGTGCAGGAGTGGCAGGAGCTGTGGTGGCAGCTGTTGCCCCCTCAGGGCTCTGCTCTGAAGGGGTGTTTGAGGCTGTTCCTGCCAGCGATCCTGCACTGGCCCCATCACTTTCTGTGGAGGTGGAGGAAGGACCATTTGCAGTTGCTGTGGTGTCAGAGATACCAGAGAGAGAAGAGAAAGAGCCTTTAGCTGGTATTTATCACCAATCTGCAGGCATTGCTGTTTCCAGGTGCACACACATTTTGCAGCTCACATAACAGTTAAGAGCAATTCTGTTTCACTCTAAAAACACTCTAATCCAAGAGTTGCACGATGGCACAAGTCTGAGATTTCTGATAGAATAAATCATATTTACCTTTTTGTCTGCATTCTGTAAACACTAAATAAACAAAAAAATACTTCCTTGCAATGAAGACTTAATTATATTCTATTTATTACTTGGAATCATAATTTAAAAGATAATAAACATAAAAGTTTCAAGAAGAGATGTGATACTGCATGGAAAGGAACTATCACAATGGGAAGGGAACACATACACTCTAAGTGTTATCAGTTTTATCTGAAAGTCATTAGGTGGGTGGGGTTAGAAGTTGAATACAAATCAGGTCTTATTAACTAATTGCACTGGATTGATCTTTTAAATTAATCACTGTATTGCAGATCCCATCCAGTTATCAGCTGCAATAAGGAGACTGCTGAAACAGATTGCAGTGCATGGGGGTAAAGACTTACCCCAAAAACATCAACTCACTTGTCAGGACTACTTGGTCTTAAAGCTTTGTAGTTTTTAAATAATCAGATGAAAAAAATCTACCAATTCCAGCACAAAAGAGTAATGAATATTTTGTAGTTTTTAAATGATCAGACTAAAAGAACAACTATCCATTTCAGTAAAAAGAGTACTTGGATGTTTTAGGTGCTGCTTTTTCACAGAATTCAACTGGAGTTGTAGAAACAAATAATTAGTGTTTCAAAACCAAATATGATCAACTGTGGGTGGTTCTGGGAGTCCTTCAGTGCACTTCAGCTCAGCCTCAGCAAGTGCTTTAGTGCAGTAGCAGTATTCACTTGTGTTACAGAATCATTGAATATCCTGAGCTGGAAGGACCCACAGGGATTAACAAATCCAACCCTTGCCCTGCACAGGACACCCCAACACTGCACCCTGTGCCTGAGAGCACTGGCCAAACACTCCTGGAGTTCTGTCAGCCTTGGGGCCATGACCACTGCCCTGGGGAGCTGTTCCAGTACCCAAACACCTCTGGGAGAAGAACCTTTGCTTAATATCCAGCCTAACCCTCCCCTGACACAGCTCCAGCTGTTCCCTTGGGTCCTGGTCCCTCTGAGCAGCACTATCACTGCAACCATCCCTGAGAATACAAGAGACTTCTAGCAACAGGAACAACGATTAAACAAGATGTGCTGAATGTAGATGAAAAATATTCCTTCAGACGTTATCTGCCAAAAACTTGACTGTCCAACAAAGCAGTTAAAAGTCTGTCCCAGCAGCTGTGCTCACTGGGGCACTGCAGCAGTGCCCAGAGTGCTTTCTCAGCATACATACCAGCGACTGAGGGGGGTCTGCGGGGTGTGGGGGGTGGAGGCCTGGCAGGCCTGGGGGGTCTGGCAGGTTTGCAGTTTCCATTTGTGAGCAGTGGAGAGTCACTGCCATTAACAGTCTTGTTTTCACTGGAAGCAGCATCTTCACAGGTTTCAAGGCCATTGGAGTTGGTCCTTTTTCAGGAAAAGACAGAAAAATGTTTTAGTGTGTGGATGACACTGAACTTTATAGATCACAGAATCTAAGATGGGTTGGGTTGGGAGGGGCCTGAAACATCATCCAGTCTCGTCCCCTGCCATGGGCAGGGACACCTTCCACCAGCCCAGGTTGCACTGAGCCCCATTTAACCTGGCCTGGAACACTCCCAGGGATGGAGCAGCCACAGCTTCTCTGAGCAAACCTATGCCAGTGTCTTATCACCCTCACAGGAAGGAATTTCTTCTCCATATCCAATCTAAACCTCCTCTCTTCAGTCCTATCACTACATGCCCTAGCAAAAAGTCCCTCACCAGATCATTTACACAATCCTCAAAATGGCCCAAACTCCCACTGGCTGGTACCAAAACCACACCAGCTTTTACTGTCATCACTATCCATTATTACTGTTACCATTACACAGGTAATTCAGATTACTCAGGCACCCTGAATACCCAAGCATGAACACTTTATTCTCAGTATGAAAAGCAACCAGAAAAAGATCAACTTTCATGGGAAGACTTCAGCCAACACAGCTAAGATCTATTTAAAAGAAGTAGTGAGATTTAACTTAGCTACTCCAGATGTCATCCAAGAGTGCTGTGCCCTGTACAGAGCCTTAAAATACTTGCAGTACTGGGAACTAATTAAAGCAACCTAGTGCTGATCACACTCTTATCCTACCAAGCAGCAGAGTCCATAATCCGATATCGACCTTAAAGCACTGGAACTGCCACAGAGCTTTGGGGATCTTCTTAAAGCTAAATATAATTCTGATGCCCCTGGGCTAGAAAGCAAACCAGTGTCAAAACAACCAGTGCCACCAGGGGATTTTTAATCTACATTCTACATTGGTAATCATTGGGAGGATGAGGAACATGAAGGGAAATAATCACAAGGTCAGTCAGGTATGGAGGGAAACTGAGGCCATTGGAAAACACTGTAATATGTGAGTGTGCAACAGGTGAGGACATTAACAGATACTGCAGCAGGGCAGACTCAGGCATTTTCCATTGTCTTCTTTATCAACCACGCAATTCCTCTTTCAAAACTGCCAACACTATAAGGCTGAATAAAAGAACAAGAGGTAAAATGTCTTACCGTGTCTCACTCCTCCCTTTGGAGCTCTCACTCTGTGTAGGACCTTAAATACCCAGAAGAAAAAATCAACAAAAGTATAAGCAACGTTCTGAATTCTTTCCAAGAAAAGCAGCAGCCTTCAAGGCTCCTATTTCCTTCAGATGATACACTATGTGCAGCTCATCTCTTGTCCGACTCCAAACCTAGACACATTTTCCATATTCCTCTGTGTGTAAATACACTTTTTTAAACCACTGCCACTGTGAGTAGTATTTCCACCTTATGGAAAGCGTAACAGGACACCATTTGACTATAAATATTCCCAAGCACACAGTGTCTTTGTAGCAGTGTCAAGCAGTGTTGTCCATTCTTCAAGTGGAGCTGGCTTTGCATATTATCTCCCTTCCAGTGATGACAGGCAGAGCAGAAAGGGCAAAAACTCTGAAATCTCTCTGGATGGCTGAGGGCTTTGATTTCTAGGTCTAGGCCCTTCCCCTTGTCAGTAAATGATTTACCACAAAGGCACTGAGGCAGGTACAACACTCTGAACACAGCTACAGCAGCTCAGCCCAGATTTGCAAGCGTTTCACGACTGCCTATTCAGCAGCTTTGGAAGTATTGGCCTTCAATACTGCTCATTTACGGAGATATCACCAAGGTGTGATTCCCGAAGAAGTAAACAAATGGCATTAACAAAGAAATCAGTTCTCAGTTCTGATGGGAACTATGGACAGATGCAGGCCGAAGACAAGGCATTGGAATAGAGAATTGCCCAGGGAGGTGGTGGAGTCACCTGGAGGTGTTTAAGAGGCACCTGGACCTGGCACTGGAAAATATGGTTTAGGGATTAGCAGATACAGTGGTGAAAGATGAATGATTGGACTCAATGATCTTAGAGGTCTCTTCCAACCTTGACGATTCTATGAAGTCATGGAAAGGCTTAGGATGTGCTGGTAGTGGGCTGTGCATGGAACGGATTTAACCCCAGAAAGAGAAATGTTAACGTCAAAGCAGCTTCACCAACACTGTATTTGGCTGTAAGCACCTTTAGCCTGGAGACTGTGAAGCTGCTTTAATATTTAACTCCATGTGCTGCAGGTCCTGATTGTCTGGGAACCTTGGCTGAACTTCTGGCTTGGTGTGCTGAGCCCAAATCTCTATACAACACTCAATTCCACTACCTACATCACTTCTCCCACCTTCTCCTCAGTAGGTGAATTTCAGGAAATGGAAGAAAGCCCAAATGAAAGCCAAGTATTGCATAAGAGGCAGATTTGTTCCTTCCACTAGGTATTCCTGCCTCAGGACTGCTCTACAAGCCTCACACAACCAGACTGTGACCATTCCGTCAATAAAAGCTTTGGCTCCTATTGACAGAAAAATCCCACACAGTCAGACCGTGTGATTGAGCCTTTAACAAGATAAAAAGCAAACGGACTAAAAGCTTTAAGAAATAATGGTGAAAAGCTACTGTGTTAATTCATTTTTCCCACGATACTCAAGATGAAATCTCAAAGCAACTTCCTCCAGGACTTTAAAAAAGCAAAACCCCAGAAACCTAAAGTTGTCAGTTAAGTGCTCAGCTAGTGCTACAGCAAACAGTGTCCCCCGTGCTGCCTTCTGCAGAAATAACCTCTGATACAGTTACACTTCACGATGCACAATCCCTCAGAAATGCTCCATTGCCTGTCTTGCACCAATGGAATTAAAATTCCTTACTTTTTACTTCAGTGTCATTAGCCATTTTACACGTATTCAAGTTTCTCAGTTAAAAACCCTGAAGACACCAAATAAACAGAAAGAGGATTCCTCTGTGCAGCTTTCCATAGGGAACCAAATCTATGAATACATTGATTTAAATGAGCTATTTTAAAATATGCATCTAACCCCATGCCTCCCAGTGAGCAGAATACTCATTACGGTGCTGCTGATGAGAACAAACTGCCTTATTTTATATTCTTTTCTAGCTGTTATTAAAATTCAGGGAATGCAGAGGCTTTCATTAAAGTTTGGGATTGCTAGAGAGAAGTTTGAAAAGTGCAGAAAATAAAGATGCCGATCTTGTTGTTACAGTGAGGTTGAAGTTTTCCCTGTGTTTGAACCATGACTCCGCTTCAAATGAAAATGCAGGAGAGCTTTGGTCTCTACAAACAGGAACTTACAGAAAGCACTGTTATTACCATTATATTATATAATGTGTTATGTGTTCAATATAATAATACGTTAAAGCTTCTTCAAAAAGAAAGCTTTGTATAGCAGATAGTGAGATTTAAACTGAAGATTACTTACTTCTTGTACTTGAGGCTTCTCCATTGGTGAGGAGCTCAGGATCCACCTGCATCCCATCCAGACAGACTGACAGATCTCCCACAACTTCTGCTGGCTCTCTGTCACCAGCCAGTTGCAATGTCGCCACTACCTGCTCAACTGAAACATCACAGGGAGCAAGGGGAGTTTATCTCACTACATGACAAAAAGTGCTTTTTATTCCAGAAGCCAACCACAAAACACAGTGACAAGTACAAAAACCCACCCAAACCAACCCCCGGAAGTCCAGCTCTACCTCCCCATTATTTTTGTGTGGTAAAACTACTCATTTTCACATCAGCAGAAAGTTATTACTTCTACAAAATGGGGGAAAAGCAGCATAAGCTTGTTGCTGCCTGAAGAAAGGATTATCACCACAGCAGAAATTGAGTCTTGTCTTTCTGCCCACATTTCTACAGCAGTTCATGTACCTGTCCTTAAAAACCTCAGCTAGGAAATAGAATTCATCTTATACTTGATACAGAACAGATTCGATTCTATCTTCTGACTAAAATGCTCCACTTTTACCTAACGACATCAAGATTCACATTTAGAACGTGAAGATTTTCCATCATATTTACCACAGGCATTTGCAGGGTAAATAACTTCTTCAATGAAACAGAAGTGCAAATAAACATTCTTGATGAAAAGGATTGAAACCAAACCCCATGAACTCCAGCAGGTGCCTGGTGTCACACAGAAGTGCTGTCATAGAATCATGGAATCAGCCGGGTTGGAAAAGACCTCCAAGATCATCGAGTCCAACCCTACCATGGTCACTAGACCACGGCACTAAGTGTCACATCCAGTCTCAACTTGAAAACCTCCAGGGATGGTGGATCCACCACCTCCCTGGGCAGCACATTCCAATGCCTGAGCACTGTCTCTGTAAAAAATCTCTTCCTAATATCCAACCTAACCCTCCCCTGGCAGAGCTTGAGTCTGTGCCCTCTTGTCCTGCTGTTGGTTGCCTGGGAGAAGAGACCAACCCCCACCTGACTCCAACCTCCTGTCAGGGAGTTGCAGAGGGTGAGAAGGTCTCCCCTGAGCCTCCTCTTCTCCAGGCTGAACACCCCCAGCTCCCTCAGCCTCTCCTCATGGCACTTGTGCTCCAGTCCCTTCACCAGCCTCGTTGCTCTTCTCTGCACCTGCTCCAGCACCTCAACATCCTTCCTGAACTGAGGGGCCCAGAATTGAGCACAGTACTCAAGGTAGAGCAGCACAGGGACACTGCCAGGAGAGCAGGTGTCACACTGCCATCAACTGCTGCACCTGCAACACCCAGGTCTGACAGACAGACTTCTTCAAAGGTCAGAACACAGGTCTGAGAGCACAAAGCTCTGTGCTGCAGCCACAGAAATGCTGTAATGGCTGTGGTGAATCCTCTCCACATACCCATTTCATGTATCTTTCTGCGTTTATCTTTCAAGTTTCCAGGATGCACATACTGCCTAAAGTCTAGTCAGTTCTCAGACACGTGAGATAACACACCATATTAACTAGTTCTAAGAGGCATGAAATAAAACATACCCCTGTAGCACTATTTGGAGTAAAAACAACCTCACACACTTCTTGTGCAGCACCAGGAACATGTCTGAGGTTTCATTTTTAAGCTATATAAAAGGAAACACTCTTGATTAGGCTGTCACTCCTGCATACACTAGCAAGGTGAAAACCCACCATGACTTTAGGGACACCATAGCAAACTGTATATAACCAAAAGAGATCACCCTGACAAAGTAAGAGGAAGCTCACAAATGCAACCTGGAGCACCAAAAAGAGTCTTTGAGGGCCACCCAGAATGCACACAGCATCCACGGTCACTAACAGACAATTCCTGACAAACTCTGCAGCATTCCAAGGTGCCACTGCGCGTGTACTTACGTTTCATGCTGTTGGATTTCAGAGTCTCATGGATATCCAGGGTAGCACTTCCCAGCAGCACATCAGACTTCAAAGTCTGATGGCTCCAGACTCGAAAGTTTAACTTACTTACGGGAGTGACAATTCTGAAAAGCAAAAGTTGAGCACTGTGAGGGCATTTGCTGGTGGGGGAAGTACATAAACCAATCAATCTCCTGCAACTATCACTGGAAGTGATTTAAGAACAGACGAATAGTGGTGGTTACATCAAACCCTTTCTAATGACCACATTCTCATGTGATATGACTTGTGTATGTCATGTGATGTTGCAAGAGTGTCCACAGACTGAGCACACAGGTTTATGCAATAATTTTAAATATATATATTTAAAGATATACTTTGTTTATTTTAATACA